TGGTGCACAATATGGTGGCCGGAAAATAGTGTAAACATCTGGAACTTACTTACTCTCTAGGCGACTGATTATCTGCACTGAACAAACAAGCATTTACATAAGCACTTTTCCTAATGCTCTAACTTCTAGAAAAGCTAAAAATCATGAGATAGGTATATTTTTTTCGACAAATGCGATCGTACTGCACCAATGTGTCACGCTCTGCCATAACTCTTAAATTCAAAATACGTTGTTTTCCAAACAAAGCACACTGTTGAGCTGTGAAGTTGTAAACTGATATAAATTTACCCCCTCTTATGCCTGATTTTAGGAAATGATGACATCACGTGAAAACAATCTATACATATATAAATACATTTTAAAAATAATTATTAAAAGATGGAGAAATATTAATTAGTGCACATGCAGTATGACACATGCCAAGCAAGAGATCTGTATATCAAATGGGCATTAATTTAATAAAGGTGATTTAAATAAAATAAAACATTAGAAATTTACAGTTTTAAGTTACAAAATACGGTATATATGTATAATACTTGTCCAAATTGTGTGAATCACTAAATACTATTTTTTGTTAGTGATACTTATTTTGTATCTGCTGTGCACATTTTGGAATTTCAAGGTGAAAAATTTGCTGTTGCCACAAAGGAAAGTTTTAATTAGTTTGACTACTGTTTGAAAACAGGTCAGGCAAAGTTTAAGTGACCAGAAGTAACTGGAGGTGTGAAATCATGTTTTTGATATTTTTTCTTAATTAAAAATATCGTTGTTACGTGGAGTGGTAATAAATACTAAGTTCTCTGTTAAGATATACAGTACCCTTTCACTCTCTGAAGCTAAAAGTGTAATATTAATTTTTAAAAAACAATAATTTTCTCGTCCTTAATAACTTTATTGGCACAGCATGTAATTATTTAATATTAATTAATTTCTGAGAACTTGCATTGGCAACTCTCATTTGCACAATATCCCGTAGCAGATGATTTCTTTATGTTATGTGTGGTGAATCTTCAAAATGTTGGTTGTGGTCTTCGTGAGTAT